CTGTGTTCCCCATTTCTGTGTGTCTCCTTCAGGTACAATACTTCAAGGGCATCCCTATCCAGGACCCGCCATACCTCCCTCTACGGCAAAGTAAGCACAGCGTTCACTCTCAGGCTTCTGCAATGGGCAGGGCTGGCCCCTGAGTACCTTTGGGCATTTTGCGTGCCAGGAACTGCACTCACTTTGCACTAATTCCAGCCCTACCTAAGACCTGTTAAATGTTAAATCTAAGACCTAGCAGCTTTGTCTTGTAGCTTCTAGCTTTGTCTCCTCCTCTTCCCAACACCCACGCCATAACCAAGTCCATCCTGGTGGTTCTCAAACTTGATTGTGCTTCAGAATCACCTGCAAGGCTTGCTGGAAGATTGTTGGGGTCCATCCATAGAGTCTCTGATTCAAGAGGTCCGCAATGTTGGGAGGGTGGGGTGGGTCACAAATTCACATTTCTAACAATATCCAGGGGATGCTGATGCTGCTGGTCCCAGGGGCTCTACTTTGAAAACCCAATTGGTTGAAGCTTGATAATAAATGCTTTGGAGCACTTGGGATGGGCCACATTATTTTATATGGTCGTATCTCAATTCACTTCTTCCTCCCTCTCATTTGGGAAGATTCACTGCAGTCCTTCTCTGTCCCCAGCATTCAGCCCACCTGCAAGGCGAGTATACAGTCTAACCACAGCCTCTGAATACCCCTACTTCCCTACAGTCTTGTCTCCTACTGACTCAGCAATCACACAGCCAAGTCCATGTCACCTTTGAATCCTCAGGACAACATTCCGACCAACCTAGTGTGTGCTCAGTGACAGGGTTTGGGCCAAAGTTGACTCTTATGTCACTGAGAGGAGACATTCGATGAGAAGTTTAGGGAGGAAGTGGCTCTGTTTTTCTAGTCCGGAGCACACGTGTGATTAGAGAGGACTAACGGATTCATGGCCTTACCTGAGCATGACTGAGGCCCCCAGAAATGAGGAAAGGCCCTAGAGGTCTTTCTACCCAGAGAGATAGTTATATGGATTTATAGACTGCCTTTCAGAAGTCCTAGATGTCAGATAGAAACAGAGGGACAAATGGACCAAAGGAATAAAAGGGAAGGAAAACAGAGAGGGTATGACCTAAATTCATGAAGAATCCTTATCCTGGGACTCATGAATCTTACAAAATAATGGCAATTTTAAAAGTATCCCAAAAAGCCAGGGCGCCTGGGTGGCTCAGTGAGTTAAGGCCTGTGCCTTCGGCTCGGGTCATGATCCCAGGGTCTTGGGATCGAGCCCCGCATCGGGCTCTCTGCTCAGCAGGGAGCCTGCTTCCCTTCCTCTCTCTCTCTGCCTGCCTCTCTGCCTACTTGTGATCTCTGTCCGTCAAATAAATAAATAAAATATTTTTTTTAAAAAAGTATCCCAAAAAGCCAATAACAAAGCCCCTTTAGGTTGCACCAGAATCCAAAGGGAAAAGAGAACCACAACGGATACTGAAAATAGAGGGGATATAATGCAGACACCTGCTCTCCCAGGTATAGGATGCCTGGGAAACCAAATAGACATGGCTAAGAAAACCTAACAGAAGGAAGCTCTCCCCAACACTCTGGGGCTGGAAAGGGGGGAGGAAAAATTTTCCCTGCCAAGGTCCAGAGAATAAATATTCAGCCTTCAAGCTGTTAAGTCTCTGCCCCAACTATAATACGCCAGTCCTGCCAAGTAGAGACAATGCTGACACAGACAGGTACAGCTCTATTGCGACATTACTCGCAAACGCAGACCTAGGGCTGGATTTGTGCCCTTAGGCCGAGGTTCTGCAAGCCCTGGGTAGTGAGGCAGGAAGAGTAAATACTAGGGTCAGGCTCACCTGGTAGAAACTGAAACCATGGCAGGTCTAAGAGAAAATGCAAAATACGGTCCATGTCCAGACATCACATGAAACAGAGGGAAAAACAAAAATACCCTGGAAATTCTCCTACTTGGTAGTATCTTAACAATTCCTCTCATGGTGTGAAGTCAGCTGGAGGCCACCTGACAGGTGAACCTAGAAAACATATCCTGTGGTTATCAGCCTCTGTAATAACAGAGAGGAACAAAGATACAAGAATATGAAGCTGAACAGCTCAAAGACTGGGACCACTAGTGAACTAATTTCATACATAAAAGTGGTATAGGTCAGGTCTCTTACTTCGGATTACTGGTATACCCAGTATAAACCAATGGTCAAAACAGGGGTTATGTAAAAAATCAAGATTTATTGCAGAGCAAATGTATGTACAGTAAAGAAAATTCTAGGAAAGGGGAATTGTGGTTGGCCACAGGACCAGCAAAGGCCCAAAGAAAGCACAGGGGAAGGGTGTGGGTGTGTGTGCATGGATTTCTGAATACAGTCAGTGATTTCTCAGTTCCATCTTTTATCATTATGCGTTTTTTTCCCCCATTAAACTATCTGATATTAGAGAAGTCACTGTTGTTAATTTTCTATGTGTTACATGCATTAGAAAGAGAGTAAGATTTGGAAACAGATCTCTTCACAGAAAAGATTATAAATATCCAAATAGCTAAAATATCTATTTATCTAAATAAAATAAATATCTATTTAATAAAATAAATATCTACTTATCTAAATAAATATCTAAAAAGATCTAGTTAACTGATTCAGGCCCTGTTAAATCAGATTCTCAATTCTCATGTTAAAATGCTCATCAGAAGATAAACAGAGACTCTGGGTGAAATTAAAACCTACTTTGTTAAAGGCAATCTCTCCATATTTACTACATTATGGTTAAGGTCAATAGAATAAGAAAACACTTTAGAAGAGACGCTGCCATTCTGGGCCCCTTTGGATGGTGCAAAATTATAAACTTATGGGGTTTAAGAGGGAATTACCTAAATAAAGTTAAGCCATTAAAAGACTAAGATTGAGGTGAAAAAGTCAATGACATTTTATAGAGAATACATTACTTAGGACTAGTAAAATTTTAGATACTCAAAGCATAGTAATCTCTATGTCAAATTTCTGTTGCCTCATTTTTAAATATAATATGGAAATCTTAAAAAAAAAAAAAGAAGCTTACAGTTTAAAAAATACCAAGACAGGTTGATCGGGCTATTTTAACTACTTTTACAGAGGGTTAATCATCATGCCTACAGATTTTCCACGGCACTCATTTTCATATGTCAGACTAGAAGCTCCCTCACTTTCTCCACAAAACCTGCAAACTCTAAGTAGCAAAAAGTCAACTTAACAATTGAAATTCTTCACCAACACATAAACCACATCCCTCATGTAAGATCATGAGTGGCATTCAATGAGCTCTACTCATCGAAAGTTTTATTAAACACAGGCCCCAGGTCTGGGCATTTATTAAATCTCTGAGCCCAGTGCACTGAAGTCAAAATTCTAGAAACGACCACGAGAGGGAAAACAACAACAACAACAACAACAACAACAAAAAAAAAAAACCCACAGCAACTCAGTGGTAAGACACAAGTCTGCAATACAGATAGAAATACTGCTCTCCAGGATCCTCTGTGTCTTTCGTATTTGTGATATCTTTATCCAGGCCGTCAACATTTCTTCTCTCCCTCCTCATTCCTTTGGTCATTCTCCCATAACCTCTCCTGTCCTCCCCAGACTCCAATATTCCCCAAGCTCACAATTTTTCTTTCTAGCCTTTATGTTCTCCCACAAACTGCCAGAGCTCTTCCACAGGCCGGAGCTCCCTAACTAAAGATGGTTATTGATGTACAGTACCAGTGTTTTAGTGCAGCGGCAGAATCAATAAACGAGAAAATACTGCTTTGTCAGGCTTCTCCAAAGCATGCCGGGAAAGTTTACTGCTTCGGATGGTTACAGAAGCTCTTAATATGGGAGAGCAAGAGCTGGGCTCCCTTCTGTGGCAAGAAATGATGTTCTTCTACCCTCTAGTGACTATAAAGGAATAAGACAAAAGTTGGGAGGAATTTTTGAGACAGCTTCACATTATTATTTATTGTCTCTTAATTTCTTTAAAAAAAAACAAAACAAAAAACACACACACAAGAAAAAAAAAGAGCCTTGTAAACTAAGTGAACTGGTTAACAAAACAACTTATCATGGTCATTTTTAGGGTGTATAAAATGCAAAGGATACACATTTTAGTAAGAGGTGGGCTTTGAGTCCTTTGGATTTTAAAAAAGGTTTGGAAAGTTTGTCTTTCTTCCCAAATGACTAGTGCTAGTCAGAGGACAATTCTGTCTCTTTCTGTCTTACACAGGCACGCACACACACACACACACACACACACACACACATACACACATATCACAGTCACCTCCACATCTCTTTAAAAAGTAGCAGAGTAGCAACATTAAAGTTACAAATACTTTTTTGGTTTTGTTTATGTTCACATCACTGTTGACATGTAGTCACTAGGACTTACTGATTTAATAACCAGATAGATTAACAATGTTTTCTTACCTTGTACACAGAGAGCTTTTACAAATTGGACAACAGTTTATGATTGCTTAAAAAGATACCAGCAATGTAAAAAAAAAAAAAAAATCAGTGGTACTTCATGAAGAAATCTTTCAAGAAACTTTCAGCAAAGAAGGTAATAAACAGAAAATCAGGACTAATACAAGAGAGATTTATAAAATATACCACACATTCCTCTCAATGAATCTTTTCATTGCCCATACAACACCAAAGCTAGTTTCCATCTAGTGGTATATAACTTCCTAAAGGACTAATTCTAACAGCACTATATTCCAAATAATCCAGGCTTAATGAAGTGTAACATTCTAACATGGCTGGTACATAAAAAATGTCACCACGAACACATGTATAAGTTCAAACATCTGGCTATGCCCTTTTTAAATGAAATTCAAAAGGGAGGTTGTTTCCTTCTTATTAGTAGCAACAGTGAGAAGAAGAGAATGCTGTTACTATGTATAAAGATTGGGTAATACCAGTCATGTGTATTGCCACAAAGATGAAATTTCCCCAAATGACGTAAAGAAAATAAACAAGTATATTTACCTTGCTGGCACTCAACCGCTTCCGACTTGACCAACGCTAGGGATTGAGTCCATTGAATGGTGGAAAATGACAAAAGGAAAGAAAGAAATAGAATCGTTAATAACATAATTCATTAGTTAGATGGTGCACACTCTAGTCAAAAAAAGAACACCTGAGTTCTGAGGTTAAAGAGAAAATACATTTGAGCAAAAAAAAAGAAACAGAAAATAATCCCATTTCTGTTGTTGTGTGACATCGTTTTCTCCTAGTATTCGATAATCAGAAGACAGGACATAATGAATACTGCTCAGTCCTAGAAGTACCAGTTCTCAATATGAGAAGACTCTTCATCTTTAAAATGCTTTTAATTGCCTTAAAGATCTCTCATATCATGTCTAAAAGCAAATCTGCAAAGGCAGATTTCTCCTATTTGAAAAATTCAGATAGTATTCTAAAAGTATTTAGTAAGTTCATGGACAATGTTTGTGCATGTTTAGGTTTCCATACTTTTAGAAACTTAAAAAAAAAAAAAAAATCACTCCATTTGCCCCAATGATCAAATCTCAATATTCAAAATAATAGGGAAAAATAAATCTGAGCTGTTCCTGTACAATTAAGAAAAATAGGCTAAGAGAGCACCAAGGGAGGGTAGAACAAATTTTCTGAACAGCAAGTAACTTCACCACTGTTCTCTTTTGATCTCTCATTTGTCATGCTAAGGCTGCTGAATTTCCTCTACAATTAAAATTCTTTCCTAGCAAAATCCTTTCATTATCCCTGTCACTGTCCAGGACTGCGAAGCTCTACTCTGGCTGGTTAACCAGCTAACTGGATGTTCAAACTTGGATAAATTTGGGAGATTACAGTGCAATTATGAATCTAATCGAGCAGACCACATTTCCTATTATGCTTAAAGGAAAAAAATACCTTTAGGCAAATGACCTTACCCACTTTGCCAATACGTCTTCCCAATCAATTAGAAACCAGAAAATAAATAGTCTTTGGGGGAAATCCACTTACATTCCAGTGACCGGCCACCACAAACACTGGTAGAAAAATGACCTGAACATACTCTTAATTAAAAACACCTCCCACTGAAAATAAATAAATTAATTAAATTAAATTAAAATTAAAAAAAAAAAACCACCCCCCCTCAACATTTACCATGTGCTGCAGAGCTGTAGATTACAATCTGGGTATTAAAGTCAGTTCTTTTTCTATTTTCCTAACATCATACTGACAAACAGTTACACCCAAACAACCACCAAAATTAGTTACCATCCTAGAGGTACACATTTCTAGTTAGGGCTCTCTGACATAGAATGCATTTGATTTTTTTTTTTTTTTAACAATCATAAAAGATACACAAAATGCAGAAAAAAATTAATGGAAATTAAATGCCTGTCTGCTTATTATACTACTAAGTGCTACCATATATTGACAGTCTACCCCATGCCAAACACTGTATTTGATCATCTCCGTCTTCACAATCCTGTAAAATACATTTTTTTTTTTTTTAATCTCCATTTCACACGTGAGGAAATTGTAGTTGAGAGACGTCAAGTAATTCTGTGTATGTGACCTGATCACTTAATTTCTCAAAGCATGAAAGTAGCAGAGCTGGGATTCAGATCCAGGTCGTTTGAGGACGGAGCCCACAATTCCAACTACAACCCAAGGAAAAGAAACAGATGGTGGGTTTCTCAGCCTTCCACCCAGCACCTGGCTTCTGACGTCCATATACACTTAAAGCCCTGGACGTGAGGGTGAGTTCACCGACATTCTGCTCGTGTTCAGATTTCTGTCAGTCTGGTTCTCAAGTGACAAAGACTCCCACGGTGGGAATTAACAGACAAGTGATTCCCGATCGAATGATCTCGTCTTTCCAGGCTTGAGTGTTAGTTATTGCCGTTTAAAAACCCCACACAAGGATGTCTTTAAATATTCAGATCGTGAAAAGAACAAACTTTTTCTGATATCTGGTCTATCCCAAAGGCCCCCATAGGCACAGCATTAAGCTGAATAACCAACCACACACGGCCCCAGATACAGGATTCCTTGCTTGGGGATACTTTGACCAAGTACATAAACAGATAAATAAAACTACTGATAAGAACAAATCAGAGCAGGCAGGGTTTTCTGTATTATAATGCCCCATAAAATATATACACAAGAAATATATTGTATCCTAGACCTCTACCAGACAAGCAAAGAACAAAGAAAATGAGAAAATGCAGGAGTGAGCAGATACACAGTCTGGCAAACTCTTGAAAAGAAGTGGGGGAGGGGGGCAGGGAGTCAAGGAGAAAAAGGGCTAAACTCAGTAACATGAAACGTGTGGCTCCTTTCACGACTCTGAAAAGTTTTTCTTTGAGATGTTTGACAAAAGCACATTCAGGCAACACCTCATATTAATATCTCTGCAATTTGAAATGCAATTTGAACTAAAATGGCGTTACTTTAAAATTCCAAATTTTGGCAATATCTAAATATATGTTAAGGGCCCTAGACATAATCCAATCTGCTACAGAAACATTCACAACAGGAATACCTAGGCAGCTGCTTCCATGAGAAATTATCCAACTTCCCAAGCCCCACTTGCATATGTAAGAAAATTTTCAGCACGTATCAGGTAGCAATTGCTCGATGATGGGGCCAATGGTACTTATTTACACGGCCTGTTATTTTAGTGTGGTGTCCAGCTCAAGGAACCAGTCACTGGCCACACACTGACACTGAATCTAATAGCTATACTGTCCAGGCTGAGAGAAGTGAAATAAAACCCTCCTTCACTATGTTGGATAGAAAAAAAAAAAAAAAAAGCGTATGCTCAACATCAATTTAAGACACTTTAACACCACAATCCCAGCTTTATTGAGGTTTCCAGTTTTCAAAGGACTATTTCTCTAAAAAATTAATAAATGGGAGGGTTTTTCTTTTTCCCCCAGTTACTGTCAACTAAACGCTCGTAAGTAAAGAATTCAAATTAAAAATAGCAACGACCGAGTTGACTTTCTGGTAACTAAAAAAAAAAAAAAAAAAAAAAAAATCACTATTCAGCTTTGCTACCCCTCTCTATTTTCTTTGAGTTTACTAGTAAATCAGTCCTGATTTTCACCATGAAAATAAATTACAACTAAAAGCAAAGGTGATGTCAAAATCAAGTGTATTCTCCTCAATTGACCCCATTGACTGAATTCAAGAAGTAGTACTGGAGGCCTAATTTCAGATTTTCATACCAGAGTCTAAACATGCTTAAATTTGAACAAATTCTAGTCCTTTTCCAAGTAGATATTTTAGTTGGCTTTAGAAACACCTTTCAAATAAGTTCTGATCAAAGATGCTTTTTGTTCTTATTTTAATTGTTGGAATTCCAAGGCCTGACCCCTGCATATAAAACTAGGTTATGATTTGTAGTCACAGATCTGCTCATAAGAACACACTCCCAGTCAAATCGTCATAAAATCCAATGCTTTGTTGGTGTTAGAGAGATCTTCAATAGGCCGTGCATTAACTAGAAACATCCGTGTGATAATAGATCAGAGGATATTAAAATTTATGTCTTCCCGAAAGTACTCTCAACAGAAAATGTGGTAGCTGAAAGAAAACAAAATAAACTGGAATGCTACAAATACGTATTTGATCACCTTAATAATTTACAGTGTAATAATTAAATCCTGGGAACTGCTTTGCATAACTGAATAATGTCTAAGTTATCCAGTACCTAAGAAAATAGTTAATGGAAATCTTACCACTTAGGAAAAGCATATGCATTTTAATAATAGCAACATCCACATCCTTAGCCAAAGTAGAGATCATTCCTTAAAGAATTTTCTTTCCAGAATTCCAAAATAAAGTGTGCATAGAACCACAGATAGTACTTTACATCTTGATACAATTAATTTGTTTCCCTCCAAAAATAATCACAAAAAATGCCAGCCATCTGGTAACCCGGTTATTAAAGGACAATTGCAGTGAAGAATTTTGAAAAGAACAAAAGGGTCAAACTTACATGTCTCTTGAAATCACCCTGTTTTACAACTAGGCTCAAATTTAACACAATCACCCCCATGTCCTCTTCTAAACTGTTTGGATCTTCCAATTTTAAAATATGTTCAGTCGTTCTACAAGCAAAAAGCAATGAATAACATTAGTACTTATGGGCAGTTACTATATAATCTCACGATGCATGGAGAGCTTACAGAAAAAGTCTCCTACCTTGGAGTAAGAGTGACATACCAGTTTTAAAAAGCACATATTCAGTAAAAATAACCCAACCATCTTCAAAGTAGGGGAGCTGTTTGGCATTGCCTAATTCAACAGTTGGTTAATGGATTCTTTTCTCTTACTGCCCAAATAAAATTTAAATACTTGTCTTATTTTTAGGTTAGGTAGGTTAATGAACCTGCATATTAACAGTTCAAAATCCCATACACATTTTGGAACACGCTGTGGAAGACTAACTGTCTGACTCATACACTCGGGAAATAAAAGCTAAAATCATAGAAAAATTCACATTTCAAAGCATGCTTTCATTTATTCAGTTTTTTTTTTCATTTAAATCTAAACACATGCCATTCAACGTTATCTTGAGTTCCCTCTAAAATTCAAAAATCACAATTAGAAGGTAAAAATACAATACCTGTTAAGCTCAAGGTCTCTGAGAACGACAAAGGCAGAACCCATGAAATCAGATGTAGTTAAATCTCGGTCATATACCTACAAAAAGGGAAGAGGTCAGTAACACACATTAATAAGGTAAACCAACTGAATTTATTGAACTATCAATAAATGCGACAGGCTGGGAATTTTGAATTCAGTCTTCTAGATCTAAAAAATAATTTGCAGCATTCAGTTGAGGCATTAGGCCAAGCCGATGGTGAGAACGAAGATTATTCAAACTTGCCCATTTTTGCCTACCACAGCCAAAACAACAGCAGAAAATACTCTTAAGGCAGGATTCATGTGCATTAAAATGTTATGCACAATGGACTGTTCTCTGTAGTTTAAATGGTGTCTCATTAAAATTTAGTATTTTCCACAGTGAGCAGATCTGCCAATTAAATAGAAATTTGCTAAAGATTCTGTAGCAATCCTATCCTGCACTCAACTCATGCAGTTTTAACCCAGATGTTAGAGCAATTGATGCTTAAAACCGGTAGCTTAAAGCTCTATTAAGTATAAAGTTATTCCTAATGAGAAAGGCTTTCCTACTTGTCGCCACTACCCCAGCTGTAATAATTCTTCCACGTGCAATAACTTTAAATACAATCAATGGAGATATTATTTCCACTCTGATTTTCTGCGGAGTATATACCACTGATCTGAGAAAAACATACAGTTTCAATGAAGGGTATAAATAATTCCTTCCACACTAATATTTTTCACCCAGAGCTTAATAATAATAAAAGAATTGGGAGATGTGGTATGTTAAGGGGGCAAAGATTGCTGAGAAATCAATGTGTTTAACCAAAGAGCAGATTCGAAAGCCATCTGTGATTACCTTCACACGGAGCTTTTGATCAAGGCTCTGAATGGGAAGTACAACTATCTCATCCCAAACTGGGTTCAAGTTCTTATATATGACTTTACTTTTGTACAGCGTCTTCCCGTTCAGCTTAAATTTCACATAGGGATCACTTGTGCCTTTAAAAGAAAAAAAGAGAGCAAGACAGGTTTTAAAAATACACATTAAAGCCCAGGATCTCCATTAAGTAAAGATTCTTTCCACACTCCCCTTGGCTCAAAGCATTTCACGGAGAGCACCTAGGACAAATGTCTCCCTGTGCAGGGATTGAAAGCCCTGGAGGTGGAGAGGAGAGAAAAATGAAACAATTTGGGGTAAATGACTGATTCTTCTTTGCCTTTCGTGGTAGAATACAAATGGGCTCCTTGAGCTTTTTCTGTTTGGTTTCCTTCTGAGTATTTCATCACTACACCACCCACAAAAATTCCAGAAACAAAATTCACCAGCACCAGCCGACGGTGTCAGGAGTCCTGAGGAGAAGCCCACCCCTCCCAAGAAGAGCAGCAAGTCCGTGAAAAGGGAAAGAAACCATTTTCAAACACTTGGCCAGACGGCTGACTCAACAGAAGTCTGTACTTTCAGATATAATCATAATAAATAAATCAATCTCTGGGACACACTGGCTCAAAAGATGGGGCCACAGGACGAAGACTGGAACCAGGGCGCAGAGAGATTAAAATGACAAAGTTGCCATTCTTCACAGCCTCCTGCACCTGCAGCAAAGCGGGTGAACATTGTCTCACCCCTGGCCAGCTGAACACCACCCCAGCCAGGCCCTCAGCTGGCCTCAGGGCCGACACCCCTGGCCCGCCCAGCTCCTCCCCGGGGAGCTTTGAAACAGACGCCAAGAAGAATGAGTCATGTCCCTCCAGCTACGATATCCCAAGCAGAAAGAAGGGCTGATGACGAACCCTCCTCCCTACTTCCAGATTGGTTTGGGGGAGGGGGCTGGCTGTGAACACACGCTGTGAATTCTCTGTTGTGCATGTCTGTGCATGCTTCTAAGTATGTCACCATATTTGGGACACACTTGTGTCTGAACACCCCGGGGATGGTGAAGAAAGAAGGCACAAATGAATGAACAATCGGTGAGGAGAGACCTGAAGGCCAGCCAGTAACGCCACAAAGACAGGAAAAATCTCATTTGAGGAGTTAGACTATTATAATGGACTGTGAAACAATCATGAATAAGTACACAAAGACCAACATATATTCTCTGACATACACCCCAGGTGCCACGGACGGTGCCCAGCACAGGTCCCATACATTTACAGACGTGAATTCCTGCTATAAAGTCAAGCCAAAGTAGCGAAAGATGTTATCTCAAAAAATAATTAGGCTGCTCGGCTGCAAACCTTTACCAAGTCATTAATACCCATCCTTCATTACCTTAAGCTTTTATTTTCGTTAGCTCTGTTTTTTGTTTTGGGTTTTTTTTTGGGGGGGGGTTGATTTCTATTTAGCTGCTGTATTAAAAATGACTGAACCCAAATGCGATCCCTTCCCCAACTACTTTACCAGAAAGGGATTTCCCTAGAAAGCAAGATCAAACACATTGTTTAGAAGCCTTCATGGGCGACCCAAGGTATAATCTGGACGGTAGCCTTCCGGTATGGCAAGCCTTCCAGCTCTAAGACGAAGAAATGAAACCATACACGTACAAACATACATATTCGACTCTCACATTATAAGTTTGGCAACACGGGGACCGAAGCCCCCGGCAGTCTTTATTTTAAAGACTTGGACACACAGGGACACACACGCACACGCCCAGTGTTTGCTGGCAGCTCTGAGCGGGACCGTAAAAAGGAATGCATTCACAGCCATCCAGTGCAGTAGTCACTAGTGAGTGAGCAACCCCCACCCCCGCCACTTTTATAGTACATGAGAACACCTCTGGCAAGTCAGACTTTAACCATCATTCGGATATATATAGATATATATACACATATATATATATATATAAAGCAGGGGAAAACTATAATAAAAAGAGGCCTTTAATTAAGTGAAATTGCCACTCTGGGATCGGGCCTTCATGCTTGTCAGAGTACTCTCAGAATAAACATCTCAAAACCAGGCCTCGGTGGTGTCACTTTCTCACAGGCAAAGCATACTGGGTAATCCCCAGGCATCTTGACAGCTACATAATGTTCAAACGGTTTCACGGGTGAATGGCGTCAGTTGCGTGAAAGAAAATATTAATGTCTGGAATTAATAGAAAAAGGGACCAGGGTTTACAAAGCCAAACAAGGAAAGAGGGTGTCAAGTTAGTGTGGCGTTAATTGTTAGGGAAAATTTGAGAAAGGGGGGAGCGCACTGTGATTTTCTCCGGGAGCCTAAGTGCCTCACTGTCAGGAAAGTGACATCTCAACTAGGCAGGTTCTGAAAAGGGGTCCGCGGCCCAAGAATGCAACTCCCCGATCATGCACATGATGACATGACACCTGAATGGCTGGACTTTAACCTTTTTCACTGGGAGCTTCATAAACAATGAGGTTCTTTGGAAGAAAGAGAGAGCGAGGGAGCGTGGCACTCTGGGAAGAGAAGAAAAAGCCAGGAGGCCAGATGGGCGCCTGCGTCCCAGCACGGCCTCCCCAGTTCTGCCATGTGGACCCAACGGGGGTCCCACACAACCTCAGATTGAGAAGAGCTGGGTGTGAAGCAGCCTGGGCCTGCGTTTCCTGCTGCCCTCCCGGCACCTGGGGGTTTGATGCTTGCCAACACACAGACTAGCGACCATTCCCTGGTCCTCCAAAAATGCTACAGCAATGTATACTCGTGACCACAACACGTGGCTGTCCTTGTCTCTGCCCCTGCTCAATAACACAATGCTCTGTCAAGCCCGCAGACAGGGCTCACGTGCCACAGACATGAACGGCTGACTTCAGAGCCTGGCTCAGTGCTAGGCACGATGGGGAGGGGCGCCAAGGTCCGGCAGTCCTGGAGGCCTGCTTCCGTCCAGGCTCTTGCCCCTGGTGGGCGGCAGGACACCGTGAATATAACACAAGGCCCAAGGGATGAGTGTCAAAACAGAACTGAACTCGGGGGTGATGCTAGCTCACAGGTGGGAGAGATGAGCTCCCGGGGGGAGGGGTGGGGTCTCAGCCCATGGAGGCTGAGACAAAAGTTGTTGGTTGAGATAAGGGTGGGCTTGAACCCTGATGTCACTTTAGCAGGGGCCACTGGCATCGAAGCTGGGGGAGCAGAGAGGAGAGCAGAAGGACAAGATCTGTGTGGTGCCAAGCCAACATTTCAACTGATCGGGGACATCAGTGGGAAAAAATATAACGAGAAAGGAGAAGAGTAAATGAAACAAGATGGGATTGGGAGGGAGACAAACCATAAGTGACTCTTAATCTCACAAAACAAACTGAGGGTGGGGGGGGGGGGGGGGGGGGGGGGGGGGGATTATGGACATTGGGGAGGGTATGTGCTATGGTGAGTGCTGTGAAGTGTGTAAACCTGGCGATTCACAGACCTGTACCCCTGGGGATAAAAATATATTATATGTTTATAAAAAATAAAATTAAAAAAAAAAAGAAAAGAAAAGGCAGGTTTGAGTCAGAGCCCAAAGTGCTTTAAAATAACAAAATAAGGAGTTTAGTTCTGGTCTGTAAGAAATACAGGATGGTTTTGTGTTTTCTGTTCTTTTTCTTTTTGACTCTCTCTCTCTCTCTCTTTTTTTTTTTTTTTTTAAATTTCTTCACACACATATTAGACATGCACCGGTCTCGGGAAGGTATGAATGAAAAAGAGAGTCTTTACTCTCTCAGACTTTCCTCATTCCCATTCTCCTAATGGTCTGGTTTTATAGGTTCATCATAGGAAAAAAATACAAGAATTGATTTGAACTTGAATGTAATCAACTTACATGCCTTGAACTTCATGCTTTTACAAAGCAAAACAAAACAAAACAAAACAAAAAAAATACAGGTTCACCAAGGATTCTTTTTTTTTTAGCCCACTCCATAAATTATCATTACTTATGTAACCAGCCACCAAATAATGGGTATTCATACCACTTCCAATTTTTTTTCTTTTTTACTAGTGCAAACAATACTATAATAAGTATTCTTGTATGACTCTCTTGGAGTGCATGAATATATTCAGAGGGAATTTTTAAATTTGGAACTGCAGGGCACATGAACCGCCAAACCTTTCCTGGCTTGGACAGAGAGTGTCACATTGTTCTTCCAAAGTTTGTCAAATTTACATACCCACCAAGAGTATATGTTTCGTACTTGTTTCTTTCCATGCTCCCCAAAATTGGATGTTATATGCCTTTGTTTTAAAAGAACAGTGGATGGAAAAATGGTATCTCTATTTTTCTCTAATTTTGACATGTTGACTAAAGCTTAGGATCTTTTCATATTTTAGTGACCTACGTTTCTATTTCTTTGTCAGGGAAGTTCACATTCATAACATTTGTCCATTTTTCTAAGATCTCATGGTTACTTGCTTCAGGATTTGAATGAGTCTTTAATTATAGAAATCAGCCACTGGCTATAAATCTTGTCATAATTTGTTTATGCTTAAGCTATTTCTTGCAGTAAGTTTTTTTTTTTTTCCACTTTTATTTAGTTAAATTTACCAAAGTTTTATTTATGGCTTTGTCGTTTGACATTCTAGTCGGAAGAAATTTTCTCACTATAGGATTTTAAATTAGCTGTGTTTCCTTCCACTAATCTTGTAGTTTTTCAGTTTTTATGCATGAATCCTTCATCCATCTGGAATTATTTCAGCGTAAGGAGGGACGGAAAGTCAGGTTTAGGTATGAACAGGAGAGTAAAAACGACCAGAGCCTAGCTTTAGAAATATAAATCTGGCAACCGCTTATTATGTAGGAGGTAGAAAAACTAACAAAAGCAAGAAATCTGCTGGTTGAGATAAGGCCACCCCAGGGCGCTGGGAGGCCAAGCAAGAAGACCCAGACCACAAGAGGAGGCAATCTGGGGCTTCACCAACTATGCCCCTCAGAACCTCACCTGGAGGGATGCTCCGTGGTCAATAAAACCAAGAGAGAAGCTGTTTACCACTTCCTTCCTTGGAATACTGACGTCTGCTAAGAACGACGTTCAGACAACAATACCAACAGCTCAAAACTTTTCTACCTTGTATT